TAGCGTGCAGATATGTTTGAGGAGATGTGAAGCTCAAACGTGGCATCACCTTCAAAAAGAAGAATCCTGGCGATTCACCCAACGCCGAGTTCGAGAACGAAGACGATGCCACGGTCCCTTGGTGCGAGACGATGTGGCCACGACAGCCATAAATCGTCGCTGTCAGAGAAGATGGATAATCTTGGTATACCTTTGAAAAGATCTGGGAAGACTTTCGTAAGTGAGTTACTCAATTCGATGCCGCCATCAAGCTCAACTTAGCAATGTGAAGGTGTCCCATCTCAAGTTGAAGGCACAGCTTCAAAGTTCTCTCTATAATTTCAGTGGCATCAGGGCAGGTATCAGCTACTCGTATGTTATGTGGTAGAGTTCAACGGTTTGCTTTCATGGTCTATGCAGATATACAGCCTTTGCTTCTCTATCGTTGACTTAGGAGATTCTACAAGATATTGCAGACCTTTGGAAGATGTTCAAGGTCCCTGTCCTCGTGGAGGGCCACACGAAAGACATCGGCTCCGGCACTGACCAGTTCTGGCAAGAGGTGGCAAATAGCCGCGTCGCCCAGCGTGGCAAACAGCAACGCTTTGAAGTTCTGTAATAGCCACAGGTTTGCAGATCCACGGTGGGATTCCAGCGGAGACATATCTGTCCGTGGGTGAGATGTGAGTACTGTATACGTATTTTAGTTTATTGATAGGGAGAGACCCTGGCCCAATGGGTAGACAGGTCTATTTTCCTTTTTCCAGCGGGTTCGATCTGGGAAATCTTCCCATTTTAATGTGGTAAGAGAACTAATATCCTGAAATCAGAAAATCCTTTGTCCTCATCTCAGAGTGAAGAGCAGTACTGTGCATGGATGTATTCACCAAATTGCATGCGGCATGCCCAATATTCAGTCTTGTTGAATCTTAGCTTGCGACCTTAAAAACTGCCACTGAAGAGCTTTGCAAGCAGAATTTTGGTTGATGTTTCGACACCACGTCGTCCTCTTGAAAATATTCTATGGTAGTCTCCGCCCCCCTAACTGGCACGCGCAATCGACCTGGTTCGACCCAGTTCTATGCTGTCAAAGACAGACACACCTCATCCAAACTTCCTTCTGAAGCAGGGAACTAGGGAACAGGTCCAACACTCGTGGTTCCTGATTTCAGGTTAACTCATAAACATGTATACATCGTTACATCATAAACTACAATTCGACCAGAATCGGTCCCCAATAGAATGCCACTAGATGGGTTTGAGATGGTTTGAGGATATACGACGTTGATATCTCTTTTTTGGAAGGAATTGATGTTTCAAAGTGTTTGGTCTTCAACTCTTGGAGTCTCTTGGAATCCTTCGCATCACGTCCTTCGAGCTTGAAAGGGCACTTCTTTCGCAGCTGACTTAGGCTGCACTTTGCGCTGCTACGTTGGGAGATGCTCGACTGGTCATTTGGGGAACTTTGCGCATCATGCGTCCAATGCTGGGGAAAAATCGTTGACCGTACCGGCAAGTTGTCGGATGCATCGAAAGATTCCGAAGAAATCATCACCTCCCAAGGTGGATTTGTGACGCGCTATGAGTTAGCAGGGTGACCAATCATGAAAGCCTCACACAAATCTGGATGTTTGGGAAATTTTGGGAAGATGACACCACCTAGGACACCACTGTGGTTTCAGGAACATCCTCGTTGTGGGATGGGACAAACAAACATCATGTTCTACCTAAATGAACCAGCGAAGTTCATCCACAGAAGCTGGTTCTTTCATCCAATTACCGTACCCCTCTCAGAATTCTTCACACCCACCCCAACATGAGCCCCATCATGGCTCCAACGCTTCTGCCGAAACTTCTGCCGATGCCAACCGTTTTCTTTTTCCACCGAATCGGTCACCAACGACGCCGTCCAACGACTCCCCTTCAGGTCATGGGAGTGGATCTGGGTCAGGTCGTCTCCGTGGGCAAACCCGGCAAGTCAGGCGCTGGAGACGCGTCGTCCGTCGTCCGTTCGTCACACGTGTTCGGCGGATCTGGAAGAAGGCGGATCGGGGCGATCCTGAGGTCGAGGAAGGTGGACACCAATGTGGAGTCACTAGTCCTTGTTCACGTAGGCAAGGAGGCCATTGCTATAATAGGTCGGAGGCCATTGCTACTAGGGTGGAGGCCTGGGGTGCTACAGGGTGGAGGCCATTGCTATAATAGGTCGGAGGCCATTGCTACTAGGGTGGAGGCCATTGCTACAATAGGTGGGAGGCCATTGCTACTAGGGTGGAGGCCATTGCTTTCATGGGTCGGAGGCCATTGCTACTAGGGTGGAGGCCATTGCTACTAGGGTGGAGGCCATTGCTACTAGGGTGGAGGCCATTGCT